GCTACCGATGGAACAATAAACATTTGATATTGTCTAATTGTTAAAAACGTGACAAATTATCGTATAAAAAGGGCTCACCCTCTTCGAAAACAAATCTCAAATCATTTCTCCGTAAAAAGTAGGAGAAAATTGTATATATAATAATTATTGCTAAACAAAATAAACAAAAAATTTCAAAAACACGTATCCCCTATTTTGATGCATATTTTTCGAATATAAATCTACAAAAAAGTCGAACTGCATTTAGGGTGAAAAATTGAAAAAAAAGTCCAATTTTTTAATATATTATTTAAATAAATAATTTCTCCCGAAATATTTGTCACTAACTAAGTTCCTGACTAAAAACTACACAATTTAAAAAAAAATTCACCTTCCTACACCCTCTAGTTTCCGAGATATTAAAGAAAATGTGTTTTCAACCCTCAACTTTGAGGGCTATTTTCACCCCCTCAACATGGATGTCCGCAGATATAAAAAAATACGTGTCAAATGATTTTTAAAAAGCTACAACATATGTCAATTTCATTAAAATCCGCGTGTGACACCTTGGTGATGTCCCTTGTAAGTCATGATGATATTGTTATTTTTATATAATGTAGATACGGGATTTCCATATCATATTAAATTATTGATGATAACATATCGATTCACTTCTACAATATTTATGTTCTCCTTCCATATTATAAGCGTCACACATGGTAAATGAAAGATTGTACACAAAGCTTGGGGCAGGAAAGTAAATAATATTTGTAACTATATGTGTATTAATCGAATTATTCTCTATTAGACTCTCATTCAAGCGATTAGCAATCTATAATACATTATTCGCCCACTGTCACATAAGTTTTATAGGTGCTAATAGTGAATGTAGTAATAAATATTTATTAAAGAATATTAAGAGAAATCTAAAAAAAAGTCCTGTGAAAAGAACTCTTTGATTATGTAAGTATTCTTGATGTTAAGAAAGTTGTTCTTTTTCAAGACTCTAAAACATTTTAGTCTATCATTTTCTATTTTTATGGATTATTTAATGAAAAAATTATAAAAAACATGTGAAATTATATTATATATAATCCAAATATTGTATTCCATTTTACTGTAGAAATATTAATCATTCCTGTTATTTTTTTTAATTTATAAATTAATCATTAAATTTGAAGATTAAAGTTTACTAATTTCATACTACAATTTCAAAAAATTAAGCAAATATGTGTACATATGAAACATTAGGTTATAAGGTTCATCATTATAGTAAATTTAATAAAATATTTGCAGTTTCAAATTAAAAAAAAATCTATAGAATGATAAAAATGAAGTAACAGAAAAAATAATTTACCTTCCATAATATTGAATGATACCATTGGTCCCTCGTGTATGCATTATTGGCTTGCAGAAGAAGTGAACTATCTGACAGAACTATACTAATACAGTTCTTATAAGTAGGATCCCATCGAGCAACAGCGTACTTCCGTATGTCTGACATGTTGCTGTACGGTATTGGTTGTTGAAGAAATCCTGTTTGCTGAAAGCATATTATTTGTTATAATTAATTTTATATTCTAATAAAACATATCATATTCTTCATTAAAAGTTTATTTTGTATTATGAGATGTGAAATTCAAATTTGTTTAAATGTGACAAAAACTTTTAGTTAACTAGGGAATACTAATTGTAAGTTCTAAAATTAAGAATTAGAAATGGAATTGATTGGACATTAAATTATTTTTTAATATTATGAAAAGGCTCCACCCAGAGGAGCTACTTCTTGTTAAAATGTATGTAATTAAGATATTTTGTAATTTATGGTATTCTGAGTCAAAAAATCAATTGGCAACAATTTTTAAGAAGTGCAGTGTTTGTTCTAACACTCGCCAGTAATCACAACAAAACATACAAATTAAAAATTAAAAATAATTAATACTTTTTTTTTTTAGAAAAGATTAAATGTAACTGAAAATGTAGGAAAGATCACTTTAAAAATATAGAATATCAACGTTTGGTATAATTTATTTTGTTTTCACTCATATGATGAAAAGAACGTATTATTTCAAAGTATCGTTTTGAGCTTAATAGAGCCACAGTAGTACATTAATACAGTAAATATTCGATATCTGCACAAATGATTTGTACGATATGTGCACCAAAGTTATCCCCACCACTGGGGGGAAGACCCCTCTAGACGCCACGAAGCTCTTTCGCCGAAAAATGTAACGGGTAGGGGTATATCCGTGAAGCAATACATATACAAATATAAAACTTTTTTATTTTTGATTTTCTCAATATTAAACTTTTACCAATAGATTCTTCATATTTTTCTGATTAAAATGAGACCAAACAAGACGTAATTTGAGTTATATTTACTTGCAATATCTTATTGGAGTAAAGTCATCGATGTACGCGTAACATTTGAAATTACAAGTAAATATGTCCCGAAATACGTCGTGTTTGGTCTCATTTTTATGCAAAAATGTTACAAATATGATGGAAAAAATTTCAAAAAAAAAAAAAAAAATTAAAAATAAACAAGTTTTATTCTTGCATTAGAAGTGTCCTACCGATAGGTCACTGTTTGTTTACGTTCAATCTCCTTCGCTCGAAATGTAGGACCTGTACGATATCTGCATCAGTTCGGACCCGAGAATCGTGCAGATATCGAATATTTACTGTAGATGTAAAACATACATCAAATGAGAACTGAATATGTACATACAGTGGATGACAAAAGTATTCGTACACATGAAATATAAAAATAAAAAGAACAATATTTTCTATGTTATTAAGTTTATTTAAACATATATAGCTGTATATTAAACATTACACTTACAGCAACAAATGTCAAAAATCGAAGGCAACGACATCATGTAGTAACTTGAAATGATTTGAAGTTCACGAGACCGTAAGAAATCGCCGGGACAAAAGTATTCGTACACGTAATTATTGCTACAATCATTAATATTTTGTATGATAATCCTTACGGCAAATCAATTCACGTAATATATCGGGCATTCACAATACCAAATTTTTAACGAAATCTGGTCCTACATTACACCATTCTCTTTTTAATATTTATTTCAAGTGTTAGTAAATAGAAATCGACGAACGACCGACACAGACCATGTGCCTTCTCACTTTTCTCATTGCATTTCCCCTTCCTCAGGGAACTTCGCTGGGCCTAAGGGCCCTAAACAGCCATGCTAGCGGGAGTGTCCTCAAGACGAGATCGTGTCTAGGAAGACATTCTTGTATTGGCATTTGCCGCGAGACGTTATTAGTAAAGCATTCAATATTCTATATAAAAACGCCCACCGCTTTATTTAGTAAAAACCTCACAATTACTTTTATTTCTTCTAAGTATCTTACACAAATATTATATCATGTTTCGCCTATACATGTTCGATAGAATTTAAGTCAAGCAATTGTGAAGAAGTTGCTAACCTATGGGGAGTATTGGTATTAATAACCATTGACATATTATACATATAAGCTGTATACTTCGCGGCACAGTCTTGCTGAAAATAAAATTCTTCTAATTGATAAATTTAATTCATTCTAATTCAACTGCACTGTTTTGTAAATTTTGTTTTAAAATATTTAAATATAAATGTTTATCCATTATTTTATCTATTATTACTAAATTGTCGTCTCCAGAAGCAGCAATACATCCCCACACCATCACAGTTCCACCCTCGTGTTTCGTCGTCGGTTGCATATTTTTGACCCAATTCAGTATTCCGCCATACTTTTTTACTACCGTCCGACTCAAAAATATTAAATATTAACTCGTCGGAAAATACTACGTTTACCCAGAAGTCGTCGCTAGCATTTATGTATTATACTGCAAATTCCAATCTCCTTTTTTAATTTACTTTGCTTATGAGTTGCTTCTTCCTTGCAACTTTACTGTTATACGAGGTCTGTCCCAAAAGTATCCGACCTTCTTTCATATTTCCCTGCTGGTGTTATCCTGCGTCATCAGGCTGGTGGCATTCTTCGAAGTAGGCCCCATTTGATTGTAGAATACTCTGCCAACGACCTTTCTACTTATGGAAACAGTCCTGGAACTCGTTTTTGGAATAGCTTTTAGAGCGTTCATCGTATTAGTTTCGACCGTTTCTTTATCGTCGAATCGGTGTTCTTTGAGTGGCATTTTCAATTTTGGAAACAACCAAAAATCGCAAATTCAATCTTCGAAACAACCAAAAATCGCAGGAAGCTACATCAGAACTGTACGGAGGCTGATGGAGCTGTATGACTTTGTGCTTCGTCAAATATTGTTGCACAAGATTCGATGCATGCGCTGGTGCGTTATCGTGATGAAGAAGCCAATCACCACTTGACCAAAACTGAGGCCAAAACTAGTTATCGGTATTCCAAGATCACATTCTAGTTCTCGCACAGTCAATCGACGATTTTCGTTGATCGCAAATCGCACACGTTCAATATTATTAAGTCTTGTTGTCGTGGAAGGCCGCCCAGAGCGTGGGTTACTATCAACAGATGTGCGGCCATCTTTGAACCGCTTATACCACTCTTTGATTTGTGTGTTGCTCATATACTCATCCCCAAATGCCTTCTTCATCATATCGATGGTTTCCGCACAACTCTTTTCGAGTTTTAAGGAAAATTTGATGCAAATTTGTTGCTCCGATCCTTCCCTTATTTTTCACAACAGCAGAATGCGATAAACGTAAAAAACACTTCGTAAAAGAATGCACGTTGCACATGAACTAAGGCGTCCCGACGAAAACTACGATATTGTGGGAGTTCGTAAAGCTTTGCAGTTGATACTCATACCCGGCAAATGACGCTAAAATTGTGAGGTGCGAAGAAATTAAAGAAGGTCGGATACTTTTGGGACAGACCTTGTATATGGTCCGATGCAGCACTCTTCATACTGTTTTAGAGTGAACTTATTTCAGCATACATATTCTTTAAAGTATAATGCAGTTTGAGATGCACTGGTATCTGATTCTTTTTTAATAGTTCAGATGATTTTACGCTTTTCTCTTGTAGTTAATTTTCGGAGTTTACCGGTTCTTTCTTTATTCCGCAATATTCCTTCTTTTTTATACTTGTTTATAATACTTTGTACAGTCGATCGACTTCTGCTTAGTATTTCTGATATATTCCTACATGATTTTCCTTCTTTATGTAACCATATCACAATTTTTCTTTTTTTCAATGTTGTTTCTTTGCCTTTCCTCCTCATATTGTACATATTAGTGTTAATGTGTACTCGCGACAATTACTACTGACTACATTAACATAACATCATCTAATATAATAGTTACATTGATATAGAATGTCCTGATACAATCGTATCTGTTCTATTTATCAACATAAATGATAATGTACGAATACTTTTGTCCCGGCGATTTCTTACAGTCTCGTGAATTTCAAGTCATTTCAAGTTATGTTGTCATTGCACTTCCCCTTCCTAAGGGAAACTTCGCTGCGGGATACGTGTTTTTGGAATTTGTTGTTTGTTGCAATGTTTATTAGATATATAATTTAACATCACCTCGTGTGAAGAGGGGTAATCAGCATTTTTATTAAAAATATCATTATTTTTACAATCTTTTACATTATTTTAGAGATTTTATACCTCTATATGTATATGCCGTTAATTGATTTCTGAATAATTATTGCAAGTAAGGAACATAGGTTTTTATGGCCAATATTGTTAAAAAATAATTTAATTTATTTTTATTTTCTGAGTTTCTTAAAAAAAACAATACCACAACATTGTGCGATGGCTCGTTCCTCCAGATTGATTTTCAAAACTGATGGGAATAACGATGAGCTATTGCCGTAAACGATTTTCCGGGTAATGAGGATTTAACTGTTTAGACTTACAGGTCACACAGTTTAGATTTGCTCCAAAGAACACATCATTAGATCATTTTAACTCATGTAATTGCTGAGTGCATTTTTCTTTTAACGAAATTAATTTATTATAGATATGAATATATATGTATACTAAAAAATAATGCTAATGCATAGTTTCGAAAGAATAAATTAAACAAATAACACCTTGAAAAATAAAATGTTTCGTGGTTAGAAGATATTAAGAATATATTTTTTATTTCAAAAGATAATTATTGCAACATTCTGATTACATTTTAAAATTTTATTAGACTAAATTAAAAAAAATACGTTAATAACATCATGTTATATTGATAGATTTTATGTTGGAGTTCCCGAATCAGGTGTAACTCGAATTGAATACAATAATCAATTTATTGTTCAATAATATTACAAGTTATATCTTAATCTAGTTCTCTAGTTTAAAAATTGTACTTTGCTCGGTGAGTTTCGGATAAAATCTAACGGAAAACGGCGCTAAGAAGAAAAATGTAAAGCATTGGAAAGAAACTATTTGTAGCGTGCCGAATGTGTCGCTACTACGTCACGATAAAAAATTTGGTTAAAAAATTACCGCAACGCGATTTGCTTCTAACAATTAATGTTACAAACAATGTTTCAAAGTTCCCGACTGTTGGAGGTTTGTAATGTTCGCAA